CAGCCAGCACACTGGCTGGGGAATGCTGGGAGTTAAAGTCCACACATCTTAAAGTTGCCAAGGTTGAGAAACACTGGATACCAAATACAGCTTGGGCCTCCTTCTCCCCAAGCCCATGTATGAGAAACAACTGCATGGAACAGAACCAAAAGAAGTATTTCCAGATCTTCCAAGTGGGCAAGATTTCCCAGTACAACCATGAACTTTGACATTTGAAAGAGGCCCATTTGTGTTCTGAATGTGAAATTCCCCCTTGAACTTTCAAGCTTGGAGGGCTTGAGATGGGTTGGCATCATTAGATTGCCTGGGCAAGACTAAACTAAGGATTCTCATAGTCCAGCAGCTGTGAATCCGTCTTAAATGCTAATCACAGTTGCAATGACATTCTACATTTCCATCAAAAGTCACTGGGAGGCAGTCAGCATTGTATGGTCACTATCACATGCAGAAACCCTGATCCCCCAAGACACAAATAAATGTCCGGTGAATGTTTGACCAATATGTTCATGGAATAACCAATGATTTAGGATAGACCGGATCGATCAATAAATCCACTGCAGTCCATTGGAACTGGGCAATTAATAAATTCAAATAAATAAATAACCAGAAGGTTTGCTGAACTAAGACTAAGCTACAGTATATGTAGTCTAAGGCTAAAAATACATGGCTGAAGATTATGAAACTGATCGACCAACCCATATAGATGAATTGCTGGCATTGTTGTAGTCTTGTTGGCATTCTATAATATCTGCATTTATTTACAACAGTGTTTTGCCAACTGCTGTCTTCCAGATGCATGCAATTGCCCTTCCCATCTTTTTCACCCAGCATGGCCAATCCATGCTGCCTGAGGATGATGGGAGGGCACCAGGTTGCAGAATTAGGCCAAACATAGGCGTGCATTGAACAACACAAAGGTAGCCCATGCATCATAATGTTATTGTACAAAGGACGTAAATTATGCAATTTGCAGATGCAAAGGACATCATTTGCATCACTGTGTGATGACATCATGTGTGAGGTCACTGGCCCTTTTTCCCCCTGCAGACCCATGAGACCCAAGTCTATAACTACATAAAGCTCAGTTAGAGCCCTGATTGTGTCCTGGAAGGTCATCTGATCTTGGGAGCAGTTTCCAGCATCCTCATTTTCAGACTCTGCCACTGCCTTCCAAATTCCCCCCAAGGAATGAATATTACCCCACTTTTAGTAGCAAATACAGTGCAGCTCTCACAGAGAACAGTGTTGCACTATTAGATGCCCAAGAGATGCAAGTAAATAATTTTTTTACCAAGGGCAGTTTAACGTTTTGGCAAAATTTGATGTTGACCTTAAGATTGGTCTACGTGCTGCAGATGCAAATGTACTCAGGGAGTAAACTGAGTTTAGATGGGTCTATATGCCTTGCACACAGCTGCTGATTGGCTACAAACCTGAACATTGTGAAGCCTGCTACATTACCCGGATGGATAAAGAAAACATCCAAGGGCTCGACACTCTCCTCAAGGAATTCCAGGTAAGGATGGGGACCTTGCTGGGTGAAGAAATGGCTGCAAAACAACATGGCAAACATCAGCATTAGTGGGAAGAAACCCAGTGAGTTTGCAGTGGGGAAAAGATAGCAATTGCCCCGCAGAATCCTGAGTAGAGACCGGTGGAATCATACGCACTTAGCTTTTCTCCTTTTTGACCAAAGGAGAGAGTGGTCCCAGCTAGGTTGTCTTCTCTTGTAGACCAAGTTGTCCATCCTGCATCTCACAGAGAATGGGAAGGAGAAGCAGCAAGAAGAAGAATTCCTCACATCCCAGGTGGATCGTTCAAGCCTGGGAACCACCATTAACATCCTCTGCAAACACATTCCCATCTTCTATACTTAGGTGAGTTGTGGCCGAGGATTTTGGAGCCAGACACAACTAAAACCTCAGAAGATACAATATCATTCACAAACACTGATTTGTACCTGCAGGCTTACACACACACACACGCACACACACACAGTATAAAGCAGCCTTCCTCATCCTACTGTTTTTCAGATATGCTGGACAGGAATTCCCATAGTTCAGAGCCAGCAAAATCATTTCACCACATGCTGGGAGTCATTAAGGTCTTTATCCAACACATCTAGCAGATACCAGCACTAGTTCCTGGGTCCATAATACATCTGATTGTTGGAAACTACCCAGTGCCTTTTCCCAAAGTCTCCAAGGAGATGGTTGTCCCACATCAGTCACTGAATTCTTCTTGATGTGGGGTTCCTGTGCTGGAAGGCAGAGTTTGCAATAGATAATGGAATGAGCTGACTTTCTTGTCATTAATGTTATGATCCATGTTCAGGCAGCATCTTTGCTTGCAGGACTCACCAAGACAGCATTGCTGAGTCACCCCCTCCCTCCATAAAGTCATGGTCAGTTGGCACATACCGCACAACTGGCTTTATAAGGGAAAGGAAATCATCTCCTCTGGTCTGCATATGCAAATATATTACTGGAATGAGTTTTTAGGCCATGTTCAGAGGGAGGAGCAGAGGATACAAACAGCCATTGCATCTTCTTGCATTTTGATTATTAAACTCCCTCCAAAAGGGAGGGATGCAGCTGAAGTTTGGCCATTTTGTTGCTGAATTTCAGGGGCAAATTTCAGGGCACAATAAGATCACGCCTCTCATGCTGCCATTGGGCACATGATGGAAATTACAATGCAAATTGAATCCGTTGTATAACTGGGGGTTAGTACATGATTTCCATGAGGATGTAATGATGCACGTGAAATTACTTGCCCTACCTGGAGGAAGTCAGCACTACCCTTAAGCAGAGTGATGGGGCTGCCTTAGGCACTAAGTTCTGACAGGGCTCCAGCTTTGCATACCCAGAGGGGATAAGGAATAGGGTCAGGAGCCCCTTTCTAAATGGAGGGCTGGCACACTCACTACTGTTGAGGAAGAGCTCATTAGTTTTATTCATGGAAATTCATGCATCATTTTAGAAGACCACAGTAGTGCAAACTCTGAGAACTTTTGATCTATGGAATCGGAGGGGCACCATGTTTTTCTTGGTTTCAAGCAGCAAAGAATCATGAGCAGAGACCCTTCTGTCCAGGTTTGGCCTACATGCATGACAAAACGGGTCCCATCTCACATCTCCACCACTTGCCCTGCAGGCTTTTGGCAGAAGCTGGAGCTGCACGTTCTGGACTGATGCCAAACTGACCAGCCCCACAGCTTCATCTGGGCTCCCCGGTGCAGTTCTTGGCAGCATTTCCTGTGCCTTCAGGATGGGTTGGCATCACTTTGCGCAGGAGGTTCAGCTAAGTGCCTAAGAAGAAGAAGAAGAATGGCAAATATTGGGGGCTGAAGAGCCAACCTTTCTTTATTCATGGCTGTTATTAATGCCCACAAAGGCAATCCTGCTTTGTTATGTAACTTGTCAGTTTTCTGGGGCAGTGGCTACTTTTTAGTTACGCATTTAAGCAGCAGCCCCAGCTGTCTGGACGGCTGCTCTCCTTCTCTCTAGACAGGCCCCGTAGTGCCCATCCCTACATCTTGCCGTCCTCCTTGGACAGAGAATGGAGGTGCTACAGGGGCTGAGTTGTTTTCCCTTGTGGCCTTTCACAATCACTTTCGTAAAGCTGTTATATCTTCAGAGGCTGCGCTGCCCTTGCCTAAAATCCTGGGACTGTTCATTCTCTTCTTTTTCTCCCAAGTTATTATCACATATGACTGATCACAGCAAAATGGGAAAGCGCTTAAAATAAATGACAAAAGCCTGCTTTACACTAAGTGACAGCAGTCAGAAGGTGGTGATAATCTGGCTTCCTGGGAGCCTTATTTCAGGAGAACCAGGACAAATAGAAAATACTCTTTAGCAGGCAGGAGTAGTGAAGAACCCAAGTCCTTGCTGAGAAGGTATCTTGGTCTGGATGGCTCAACTCCATCCATGTAGGAGCCAGTATGATGATATCTTTTCCTTTTCCTCCTTTCCTCCCATATCCTTCCTTGTAGAAATCTGGATTGATGGGCATCCATGGAGAGCAGGGGTAGGAGGAAGCAAGTGAAAACCTGCACCTCATGGTGTCAGCATGCAGATGAAGGAAATTTTGTAATTCTGTCCACAGAAACTATACTGCAGTGATATTTGTTGTCCTATTGCTAATCCCTGCCCTGCCTTTATTACCTCTGTTCCCAGCCACTGCCAGTCCCCTCCAAGATAATGGGTGACCAAGCTTAACAGATTTTACACAACTTGTGGCTGCCTTTGAATGCTAAATACTAATCAAAGTGCTAAATGCTAAATACAACTTTAATAACAATCTCATGGGAGCACAGCAGTCAAAAGATAATAGGTTAGGTCAAAGTAGGAAGGGGCAAAGATTCATGCAATGGAAGCTTCCAATGCCTTCTAGTAAACAAGTTAACATTTCCCAAGAATTGCAGAACCTTGACTGTAAAAACGAGGTATTCTTAGACTCAGATGTTATCAAGGTTCAGGAGGAAAAAGACCCACGATTATAGTCATCTTTGACGTTCTACTGCTGTAGATCATGTTCTCCAAAGGAGGTACTTCAAGATCGTTTTCAAGATGGGCCCAGTCAGTAGGTTTTAAACAGTGTCGTACGGTATACATGTAGAGAAATGGTGGGAATTAAGTCTCCATGCAAGCCTTTTCCAACATGGTGACTTCCAGCTGTATGGGGGCAAGTTCTAACATTCCCAGGCAATTGCTATGCCAGCACTTCTAGAGAGTGTTGGGGTGGGGGGGGGGG